AAAAAAAAACAACTAATGTAAAATCCCTATGATAGGAGTTTACCAGGCATCTTCCAGCACAGGAAGAACGCCAGAGTGAATGAAGGGTAGAGTGAAAGGATGAGGCCAGGGGTTCACAGGGAGCCAGGCCCTGCAAGGCTCCCAGGCTTTCACTTTGAATAAAACAGGTAGCAACTACAGGGTCAAATGCAGAGGCATAACCGTTCCTACATTTTCAAGAATCACTTGGCTGTTTTTATCAATAACAGACTATGGAGAGAGCCAATGGTAGACATAGGGGAGCAAGGCCAGTCGTCTATGTGAGAGATTGGTGGCCTGCTTGACCATAGCCCTAAGTGGGGACAAGCGGTGGGATTCTGGGTTTCTTTAAAGAGAGAACCAGCCCTGGCTAGTTTGGCTCAGTGGATGGAGTGTCAGCCTGAGGACTGAAGGGTCCCAGGTTTGATTCCAGTCAAGGACACGTGTCCAGGTTTCGGGCTCAATCCCCAGTGCGGGGAGTGCAGGAGGCAGCCGATCAGTGATTCTCTCTCATCGTTGATATTTCTATCTCTCTCTACTTCTTTCTTCCTCTCTGAAATCAATAAAAATATACTTTAAAAAAGAGAGAGAGAACCAGCAGGATTTCCTTACAGATTGGGTGTAGGCTGTGAAAGAAATGCAAGGGTTAACAACGCCTTGAAGGTTTTGACCTAAACAGTTGGATGAATGAATCTATGTGGAAAGGGTTCTGGGTAAAGCAGATTTGGGTAGGAATATCTGCAGTTCAGCTTTGGACATATTTCATTTTAGTTGTCTCTTAGATTGCCAAATGAGATATATTGAGTAGGCAGTTAGATATTTAAGTCTAGAGTTCAGGAGAATGGTCTGAGCAAGAGATATAAATTTAGGCATATTAACATGTAGATGGTTTTTAGAACTTTAGGACTAGTATTTATCATAAAGTTAGTTGCAAATTTAAATTATATTAACTTTCTAATTTCTAAAAGGTATGACACATTTAGAAATAAAGAGAAAATTATTGTGTTTATAATTCATTTAGAACATAATTGGAGAAAATTTCCTTGATACTCTATTGCAATAACCAAAGAAAATACTTAGACTTATCTCCTTACACAATTTATTTGAATATCAAGCCTTGTGGTTTTTACTACTATATAACACTCTGGAATTTGTAATGCCTTCCTTTTAGTCTTAATTCTTTGTCCTATGTTATAAACTTTACCTGAACTTTTAATAGTTCCCAAGCACAATAATAAATCATTAGTTCATTACAATAAAGATGATTATGGAATTTTAAATTGTTCAGTAGTTTTACTTTAAATAATCTTTAAAGAATTTATTATGATTTTCCTAATTATTTTATTTGAAGAAACTATAATTTGATTTTTAATCTGTTCTGAAGTTTACTTCCTTATCAACATAATTAAAGACCCTTTTGAATTTTTCAGGAAAGTATCATTCTCAGCCAGACCCACTCTGTTCATCCCATACTTTAATTCCACAAAATCACAGTTGGACTGACTTGGTGTTGAAACTGATCATTTATGTAAAATTATCAGAAAATACCAGCATAATCCAATTACAAAAACTATTCACAAGTCTCCGGGGTGAAACAACTTCAGATCTTTGTTCTTATGTACTTGCAAACCTTATCTATACTTTTATTAGTACAGGTAATATACTAATGAGATAAGGTAATATATTACCTAATATATTAATTAGATAAGGTAAAATCCTGCTGGTTCTCTCTCTTTTATTAGGGAAGGTAACATACTAATTAGACTGGACATATTCCGGACGATCTTCTGGACGTCCTTCTGGACAGTCATGGTGGCGAGGCTGAGGCAGAGGTGGTTAGGAGCAGGGGCACGCAATTAGGGGGATCGGACCAGCAGAGGAGAGCAGTTAGGGGGACCAAGTCAGCAGGGAAGAGCAATTAGAGGGATCAGGCCGGCAGGGAAGAGCAGTTAGGGGGATCAGGCCAGCAGGCAGGTGAGCAGTTAGAAGCCAGCAGTCCCAGATCGCGAGGGATGTCCAACCGCCCGCTTTGCCCCAATTGGGATCAGGCCTAAACCAGCAGTCAGACATCCCCCGATGGGTCCTGGATTGGAGAGGGTGCAGGCTGGGCTGAGGGACACCCCCCCCCCCGCCCTTTGGGCACAAATTTCATGCACCGGGCCTCTAGTAGCTATTATAAACATTTTCTCCAGTGGAGGACTGAGATGAAATCTACTGAATGCCACACACAACCAGAGATTGAGGGAGCAACTACTTGGTAAGTCTATGACAGCCCTATAAGCACAGAATTCTCTGTGCATTTTCATGGGAGAGGGTCCATTCATTTTTCCATTCTCAAAAGGCTCCATGCCCCAAAGAAATTAAATTTTACTGAATAAAAAGATACTCCTTCTTATGTATCAAGGCTCTTCCTGTTATGTGTCTAGTTTACTTACATTTTCTAGACTCTATCTTCATGACCCTCTGTACTCCAGCCATGTCAATCTACTTTCAATGTTCGGTGTTCAAATGTTGGTCTCCTCAAAAACCCTTCTCTGGCCAGGCCGCAGTGGCTCAGTGCTTAAGCATTGGTCTATGAACCAGGATGTCACGTGTTTGATTCCCAGTCAGGGCACATGCCTGGGTTGCGGGCTCAATCGCCAGTAGGGGGTGTGCAGGAGGCAGCTGATCATAAATTCTCTCTCATCATTGATGTTTCTATCTTTCTTTCCCTCTCCCTTCCTTTCTCTGAAATTAATTTAAAATAATTTTTAAAGCCTTCTCTGGCTTTCCCAGGTATGGGTAGACAGATGCCTCTTCTTTGGCCCTCTCTGTGTATGTACATCTATTTGGTCCTCTTGCAACATTCTGCTGCCTCCTCACTCCCACCTGGTGCACTTCTTCTGTTCCTTTATAACTCAGAGCACCACTCCTCCACAGGGAGACTTCTGTAACCATCCCTGCTCCCAAAGTCTGGGCTAACTGATCCCTCTCTTCACTTCCACAGTATCCAAAGCATTCCCTATAATAGCAATTAAAACTCAGCATTACCACTTTTTTAAAATGTATTCGTCTTGCTCCATTAGTGGAAGGCAGAGACCAGGTCTAATTCACATTTGCATCTCTAGTATCTATTGCAGCTCCAGATACTAAAAAATAATTTGTTGAGTAAATAATAAATGAAAATAAAAGAATATGGCCTTAACCTCAGGGGAGTAAAAAAGCACTGGGTTACTAAATTCTGGACAAGTACTGCTGTGTCAGCTTACAGTTAATATACATAGCAAATGACCCAAAATTAAACATGCAGGCCCAGCCGGTGTGGCTCAGTGGTTGAGCATTGACCTATGGATCAGGAGGTCACTGTTTGATTCCCGGTCAGGCACATGCTCGAGTTTCAGTCTCAATCCCCAGTGTGGGGCATGCAGGAGGCAGGTGAACAATGATTCTCTTCCATCATTGATGTTTCTACCTCTCTCTCCCTCTCCGAAATCAATAAAAATATATATATTTAAAAAACAAATAAATAACCATGCAGACTCCCATGCACCTTTCTCTCCTCCCTCTAGTAAATAAATAGGTATGTACCACAGGAGATTTTAATATGACTTCAGAATTAATGTATCTATGAGAAATCCTCCAAGTCTGCCTGTCAGTTAAAAATGAAACTATCTTGCTCCCTCTCATCGATGTTTCTAACTCTCTATCTCTCTCCCTTTCTCTCTGTAAAAAATCAATAAAATATATTTAAAAAAAAAAAATGAAACTATCTTCTTAAAGTGTAAGGAACTCAGCTAAGCATTTATCAAATGAAGGATGCTTTGTCTGAGCTCAGAGGAGAAAAACATCTGATATCTAGTATCCAATTGGAAAAATTCTCTTGGTTAGGATTTTCAATACTGAATACATGTATGTTAAGCATTTGCAATTTCATAAACATTAAATAATATATTTTCTTATTAATATTTTCAAAGACTACCAAGTATTTCCACAAGTATGAGAAGGCCAATTCATCTATGGCTGTGAACATGTAGGTTTTCCACTTCAGCTCTAATAGGTGTACATTTTAATGGTGAAATTTCAAAGAACTTTGCATGAAGGCATGTTAAATAGACACATGCACGAATAATACACATATTACACACAAAGGGAGAGGTGTTTACCTATGCAGTTTCATACAATAGTGTTTTATCTTTTAAAAAAGAGTGGCTTATACTTAAAGAGGTCAATAGAATGCTTAAATAAGATAAATTATTATGTTCTAGACAAGGATTCAAAAAACTGTCATGTGGAGGTGAGTAGAGATTAGAAATGCATTGGCCAAAAGTCCTGGGTGAAACTGCCCCCTAGCGGTCAAATAATCACACTGAGTAAGAAAATGAACAAAGTAAAACTGATTAAATGTGCAGACCTTCATATTTGTTGGATCTAGTGTTATTAAAGAGAACTGGGTGAACCAATCTTCATATTTTATGATAATTTATTTTCTGGCCATGGCTGTGATAAAGATATCTTCTAGGAACTCTGGTTGAAACAATGTTGATGTTTAAATCTAAATTAATTTAGTTATTTAGAATCTATGCTTAAAATTGTGATCCAACATACAAGCAAATATTCAACTGTATGTACCTTTAAAGGATCAACACAATTAAATTTCATCCAAACAATAGCCCAATATATTCAGTTTATATATGTTTTATTAAAAGGAAAAATATGCCCACACTCACCTGTAATGGCTGAAATAGGTTGCTCAAAGCAGCTTAAAGTTCCTCGTTCTGCTACACTGAATAGATATATCAAATAATGGTGGAAAGATTTGAGACCTCTAATTGCTGTTGATATGTTGGGTTTTTCAACAAACACCTCTTCTGATTTATTATCTTGAACATCCAACGTAGTTACAAGATAATGGTGAAAAGACTCAGGATCTGGAGGATCCCAATGTAAAAATATTTCTGTTGGGGTCACATGAGTAACTGTGACATTTTGGACTGACAATGGGCCTAGGAGATAAAAATACACGCTATTAGTTACATGGGTTGCCAGAATAACCTCTCACTTCTCAATACTTCTATACTACTTTAGTTTAAAGAGAGAGGAAAAACTAGGTTTGAGTCCTGGCTCTTACACTTTCTGGCTCCACTCCCTGAGTAACTTGCCAGCTTTGAACCTCACTTCTCTTGACTATAAAATGGGAATTATAGTAGTAGTTGCCTTGTAAAATTATTGTGAAGATTAAATGAGATAAGGTATCTAAAGCACTTGGCACCGTGTTTAACACACATTATTGTTCAATCGTTATTTTTTTTAATATTTTTTTTATTGATTAAGATATTAATTATGTGTCCGTCCCCACATCACCC